ATTAGATGAGTAAGAATAAGCAGGAGAATTCTGTTTCAGAAAAGTAGCTTAATGAGGGTTTGTCTTGATAGACCCAACCTGATCTTTTCTTAAAATTGGGCATCTCGCCACAAAACCATGAAAAGATAATTTCAGCTTTACTATAAATTACTGCAAATTCTGAACCTGCTTGGAATGCCTGCCCGTGCCTTGAACTCACCCATGCCTGGCTCTCTGACCAGATAGCAGCCCTCTCTGAAACTTAGTGACACCTCATAAATATTGGCCTTCCCTGGCCAGACAATGACCCTCTCTGAGGCTCTAATGGTCCTCATAAATTCTGATGTTGGGGCAGCAAAAAACTGTAAACTACCATTAGTGTGATGCTTGTCAGAGTTCTGTTATCTGTAACCCCCTTTGTGTAACTTTCTGGGCTATAAAGCTGGACTGCAGGAAAGCTGGGTGCTGTCTTGTTCTCGCCATTTTGGGAGGGAGAGGCAGCCCGGCTGGTGGAAATAATAAGCTTGCTTTAATTTGATTTTAATTGGAGTCAGTGGTCTTTTCTTGCATTCTGGTCTAACAGTCTGGGGAGAAACTAGATAGAAGACACTTTATCAAGAGGCTGTTGCAACCATACAAACAAGGAATGTTGCAGATCTCTCTTAGGGGGCTAGTTGTGGGATGTTAGTTAGCTTCATACAAGGAAACTGAGCTTAACTTCTCCATCAAGCTTCTTAAATCATTATTGACAAAAATCCAGAAGGTTCATAGTTGGATAAAGTATACAATTCCAGATCTGCAACAAAATAATTACATATTCTTGCCTTCCAAAATTAGCAGGTGTCCCTGCCATATCCATTCCTTTCCTGGTGGTCCATTGAAAAACCAGCCTCTATCTCAGAGCAAAGCCTGTCCAAGGAAGAGACATCATCTTTGTCCTTGGAAAGACCCACAGAGCACTCCTAGTCACATTCCCACCCTACTAAGTTGTTTATCTACAAATAACAGGAGAGATCTGCTGAGCCAGGTGTCCCTGACTCAGTCAGGCTAGGTGGGGATCCATAGCAACCCCCTAGCAGCCACCAAACAGCATGAGACAGGGAAATACCTGGGATGCCAGATGACCCTCCCAGTAGTTTATGGTGGTTGATAACATGTTGGGAAACCATGTAGTTCAGCACGTACACCCCTCTTGGCTTAAACCAATCAGTTCAAATGAACACCCCTTTTGTACTGACCAATCACACTTACCCAACTTGTTCCCGCCAGTGAATGTGCTAATCATGTTTTAGAGTTGTTATTTGATTTTCCCGTGGTGTGTGATGATTTGCTAAGAGATGCTATGATGTATGTGAAGTCCCTGCCTTCTCCAAAGAATGTATAAAACTGCTGCAAACCCTGGGCTTGGGGCCTCTCAGGGTCACCAGTTGCTGTGTGTTCGTGGAGGACCGAGCTAGCTCGCAATAAACACCTCTTTGCTGTTTACATCGATCTTGGATCTCTGGTGGTCCTTTGGGGGTCCCGAATTCGAGCATAACACCATGTACTCTGAGGCAGAGTTAGTGCCACAAAGATGTTATGAGGACTGTTATCAGTGACCTCATGGCCACACACCCCAAATTCTCCATTTCCTTTTATAGTACTTGGAATATAGATTTAAAATCACTGATCTAAACAGCTTGCCAAATTGTTGACCCAATTCCTGCCTGCCTGGAACCCAGAAGGCATACCTGGTCAGGGACAGCATTGGACACTCTGCTGTGACCTCTCTGGCCACTGCCTCTCACTAGGAAACGAGCAACTGACACAAGCAATGTTCAAAACCAGGAAGCAAGATGCAGTCTGAGCTCTGTAAGCTCAAGAGTTTAGGGTTCCTGATGAGTCCCCTTAGGACAGTCCAGAAGTAGGGGATAGAAAGAGGCAGCCTGCTCCAGAGCAGGTATTACTCCTCTGTCTGCTGTCAGCATTCTGCTTCAAGGTAAGATGGAGCAAGAACATAGGAAAATGGAAATGCTCTTCTAACAACATCTAGAAAGTCTCCCATTCTCCAGAACTGCAGAACATCCAAACCAGATAGGTTAAAATTCTCTGCAGCATCTATGGTGTGGCTTCCTTTTAGAAGCAGACATAAAATCCATGTCATTGATCAATACACGCAGCCCCATCTCTCATCGGCCTGCATGGATATCTGCTAAATTGCTATCCCTCATTTTTATCACCTCTCCTATTCTACAACTTTAAAATATCCAAGTTTTCTACTGTCTCTTTCTACCAAGGTGCAGTAGCTATGAGCAGGGTAGCTTGGGTCTCATGGATATCAAGCCCTTTCCCATATCACTTGGGAAGATCCAGTAGAGAAGATGATGGTGGAGAAAGGGGAGGGGAAATCTTCACTTCCCCTGGGATATGTTTCTCCCTACTTTGTAGATAAACTTTAGGAATCAAGTGGTATGAAAAGATAATAGAAGAGGTGTGGAAAGGACTTTCTACTTTTTACAAAAGTAGTCTACTACAGGTTTTTGGGGGTTGGGTGTGAGTAAGGTGGACTGAAGGGCTTTTCCATTTCATTTCAGGTTCTATCCACCACCTGGTATATTCTAGTCCTTAAGATCTTCTCAAGATGGTGATGATAAAAATGGCTCGCACAGATCTCAAAGGAAGTCACTAAATTTGAGAATGGTACAAAATACAGCACATGGCCAGTAGTCAATAACTTGACCTTGGTGCCAGGCACAGTGGAACACACTTGCTATCCCAGCTACTCAGGAGGCTGGGGCAGAAGGATCACAAGTATGAAGACCACCTGGGCAACTCAGTAAGACTGTGTCTCAAAATAAAAAAATAAAAAAATTAAAGGGCTGTGGGTGTAGGTCAGTGGTAGACAACAGTTCCCTTAGGATTGCAGGTTATTCCTATAACAATTGCCCTGGGTTCAAACCCCAGTAACACACATACACGCACACACACACACACACACACACACACACAAACACAGCACACACACACACATACACACACACACACAGAGTTCATCTTGAATACAGTCCTTAAGTTTCTGCACATTTTACATTACATTCATGTTTACTTCTCTCCAAATTTTCCTTTAAGAAAACAGATAAACCTGAAAGAGAAAAGAGAAAATTGAGAAAAAAAATTTTAGGGAAATTTAGTAGAATGACTATGAGGAAGAATCATAATACAACTGGAGAGAATAAAGTATGGTCAGAAAAAAATACACAGGAACAAAGCTTGAGCCTCTTCTCAGCTCACCACTTCAGCTTCTATTTACCTCCCAACCCAGCCCATCCTCCCAACCCCTGACCAGAGGGGAAGCTTGACACAGGGAGGAGGGATCCTGAGCCTCTCCCTCTGTCTTTCTCTACAGGAGAGGCCCTCAGGCCCTACTCCTGGTCTCTCTCTCACCTAGGAAACAGAATCCCTGTTCCCATCTGCCCTCTACAGGGAAGGCTGACATTTTCACCATCAATTGCTCAGACTGGACCAGACTGGGGTGCCAGCTGCCCTACAGCCTATGTTTAATCTGAAGGCCTTCATCCAGCCGTCAGCTACAGCTTCCTGACTCATGTCTCTTCACTCTGCTCTTCTGGCAGGGGTAAGTTCAGACTCTTACATTCTTTCCACAGGCTTCCAATAGGGAACAAGGACTCTTTACATTGTTAACCCAACACTTCCCAGTACACTGATTGGATTTTTCACAAGTTAAATGATCATACTATGGGATAGGAAGACATGAACAAGAACACTGTAGTTACCTTTTGCAGAGAACATTTGTCCTTGAGGCCAGACCTTATGAAAATATTATACAAAAAAGAAAAAAAATACATTGTCAATGGGGCCCCCATACTGTTTTTTCACCTACATTTTTCTGACCTGTCTTTCTTTTGTGATTTGTGATTGAAAAGCCCAACTGTCACATGGGACCACTTAGGAAACAACAGCAGGAGGTAGACTAGGTCCTGATTTTGTGACATGATCCTGCATGGGTTTTGCTTCATTTTAGTTTAGGGAGTGGGTTGTTTTGTTCTGATCTGGGTTTTTTTTTTTTTCTTTTCTTTTCTTTTTTTTGGTCAGGAGACACAGCTTCAACTGCTGACGTCATTTCTATGGTTAAATATGGTATGGAAGATTCAGTTTCATTCTTTTTCTTTCTCCTTGCCTTTTTTCCTGGCTTTGCTTGCAAAAATCACATTGTTGAAATTGACAGTGCCTGAGGGAATAGATAAATCCAACCAGAATGGGGCCAGTGCTGGTGACAAATAGCATTCTGGGCTGCTAATCAACTTTGAAAGACATAGATGGAAAATACAAAATAGGCACACAATGAGAAGCCCCTAAGTGAGCTTTAGTGCCCCAGTGCATCCAGCATCCTGCTTGAGATTTCCCTTGAGTGGGAAGTGAAAGTCCAATGAGGCTCTGTTAGCTGGAGAAGGAGAGATAATTATTGCCAGAGAGAGAAGAGAAATCAGAATTTAAAAGGTAACAATGTCCAAAGAACAGCACAATAACCATATGCATCATTAATTTTTATTTTCCATGTAAACAAAAATTAGTGCTGGGATATATAATAATTTCATTTTCTGGAATTATACATAAGAAACTATTAATAATACTGATGTGGTATAGAAACTTAACTGGGGTGAATTGAGGAGGGAAAACATTGCATTTATACTATACCTATCTCGAATGAAGTTTTATTGTATTCCCAAATAATATACATTAAAATAAAAATAATAATTAGTGGGGCTGGGGTTCTAGCTCAGTGGTAGAGCGCTTGCCTAGCATGCGTGAGGCACTGAGTTCGATCCCCAGCACCACATAAAAATACAAAATAAAATAAACACATTCTGGCCATCTACAACTAAAAAAAATTTTTAAATAATAATAATTAGTGTATGTGGTGTGTATGTGTTTTAAGGGATGGAGGGCAGGAGATGCTGACCTAAACTAGCTCCAGGTTTCTCCCATAATGCATCCCTCTGTGCCCTGTGCTCTGGATCTAGGACAACCCATTCATCAGCCAGGACCCAGAGGAACATAGTAACATCAATAAACCCACCTTGACAATGGAGCACCTGTGGCTCCCAGTTATATTCGTCATAGAATCAGGCCTTGGAAAAGCTGAAGGAAAGCCCAGTCTGCAAGAAAAAGCCCAGGCCACGGCAGGGCAAGCCCATTTCAGGGGGCCACTAAGCCCTTATTTCAGAAAGGAGCAAAACCACAGGTGATTAACTTCTCCCCTAGAAATGGGGCAGCAGAGAACATGATGGGGTGACCATAATGAACCTGCCTTAAAAGAAAAAACTCAACTGATGTGAAAGCAGAGCATGAGTCTCCTGCCCATTTTGCCACTTACTATGGAGTTTGATCAGACCCCAGAAGGCCTCTCTATGTATGTGACAAATGATAGTCACATTATATAAAACAAGTCAATGCAGGTGACCAGCATCTGTAGCCTGGACATCTTCTACTTCCCCTTTGACCAGCCAGAACTGCACCCTTACCTTTGTTCTTTCCCATTAACAGGTAAGTTTGAGTGGGGGTTCAGGGATAGGGTAAATGACATCAGCCACAAAGCATGTGTAGGCATCATTTTAAAAATTATATAAAAAGGGAGGGTAGGATATATGCTGAATGACGTATGTTAGTTAGGTTTTTGTCTCTGTAACCAAAATACCTGACAAGAATAACTCAGAGGCAGGAAAGTTCATTTGGGCTCATGGTTTCAGAGGTTCAGTCCATGGCTGGCCAATTCTGTCTCTTTGGGTCCAAGGTGAGGTGAAGGGCATGGTGAAGAAAAGCTGCTCAGCCTATGGCAGTGTCAGGAAGCAGAGACAGAAGGAAGGGTGAAGGGGCCATATGGAAGATGAACTCTTCCAGGGCACATCACCAGCACCCCACCTCCTCCAGCCATGCCCCACCTGACTACAGTTACCACCTAGTTAGTCCATTGAAACTAGGATGGGGCTGATGATGTTACAGCTCTCACCTCTGAATATTCCCACATTAACATGCAAGTTTTGAGGGACCACATATCCAAACCATAACAAGGGGTATATGTGGAGGCTGGGGTGAGGGAGTCGAACTTAGAGAGGGGTCAAGATTTTCTGAGAAAGCCCAGAATAGAAAAGAGGCAACCAAACAGTGAACAAGTCATTTTATTGGGCAATTTGGAGAAGGTGGCTATGGTAGAATTCTGATTCATCTCTGTAAGCCCTGCACAGGGTCACTGCTAAGCAGATGTGTGTTAAATGGCATCTGTCTTCCTTGCAATGAATAACATGTTGCTGGGCATGGACAAGGAAGTGCAGGACACAGATACTTTACATACAAGAGCAATGAGAGTGAGAACTAATGGGCAGCAAGGGATCCATGTGCCTTGTTTGTTTGTTTGAACAATAATGTCCTATTGATCCCAGAGATTCTGGCATGGCTGTCCCCCTCACTACTACCTCCCTCACCCACACCTTTCTGAGTTCAGGAGCCAGGGCTTCCACTTTTTGCCCTAAGACTATAACTCTGACCCTTCCTCTTTCCCAAGTCTCCCAAAGCCTCTCCCATGTCTAAACTGCCAGTTTTGACCTAGGGTTTCTCTGGTAGGTACAGGGAAGTCTTGTTAGTCATAGGAAATCTGTTTCTCATCCAGCCCCAGGAAAGGCCCCTGTTGGGGTAAGGACACCAAAGAAGGAAGAAGCTCAAGCCATCCCTCTGTCCCTTCAGTCCTAAGGTACCCCATTCTCTACTTGCTCCTCCTCTCCAGGTGGCCATCAGGTACAGGTGAGAAACTGATATGACTCCATTTTTGAAAACAGCTTCTACCTCAAAGGCTGTCCAAGGAAGGGGGCGTGACCCTTGTCCTTGAAAAAACCCACAGAGCACTCCTATGCACATACCCACCTGCTGAGTTACTTGTCTGCAAATAACAGGAGAGATCTGCTAAGCCAGGTGTCCCTGACTCAGTTAGTCTAGGTGAAGACCCACAGCCTAGCAACCACCAATCAGCATGAGACAGGAAAAATACTTGAGATGCCAGATGACCCCCCCAGTAGTTTATGGTGGTTAATAACATGTTAGGAAACCTTGTAGTTTAGCACGTACACCCCTCACGGATTAAACCAATCAGTTCAAAGGAATCCCCCTCTTGTACTAACCAATTACCCCTGCCCAACTTGTTCCCACCAGAGAATGTGCTAATCAATGTTAAGAGTTGTTTTTTGACTTTCCCGTGGTGTGAAATGATTTGCTGTGTGATGTTGTGACATATAGAGTATCCCCCAAAACTTATAAAATCTCACTGAACAAAGGACCAGGACTCATTCCCTGGGACCGCTGCGTCGGAATTGGTTGTGAGTCCAGGCTCAAGCTTGCAATAAAGATTCTTGTGTAATTGCATCGGATTCGGCTCCTGGAGATCTATTGGGGTCCCATGAATCTGGCATTACACAAGCCCAGCCTCCCTGTGAAAAACCTCCTGGCGCCTGGTGGCTCTCTAATGGCCATTGAAACCCTCCGCTTCTACCTGCTAGTAGAAAATTAGAACTGTGCCCCATTCAAGATGATCCTTCTGCTGAGCTTTGTCTTCCTGCTTTGGATGAATAAACTCCCCAACCAGTGGCAGCCCCTTTATCACTGTGGCTCCTCCCACTGCTGGAGAGTGAAACAAGAAAAGAATTTAAAAAAAACAAGTTCACAAGGCAAGTGAACTAACCAGATGTGTGGAGGAAGTAGAGGCAGAAGAGAGAGGGCATCTTAAAAACGGCATCTGCCTGAGACAAAGACAAAATAAAAACAAAACCATGACACTGTGACACGTCAACACATCAAAAAAAAAGTGGTACCTCTGAACCTGCCATCACTCCCCACATTAGGCACCTATATTGCTCTGTGTCTGTCCCTTTATAAAAGAATTCTGAAATATCCTAACTTACATTGCAGGCTAGAGAATGGAGGAGGGAAAGAAGTAAGAGAAGTGCAACTTCAAGCTAAATTTACAAAAAAAAAAAAAAAAAAAAAAATCTACCTCATCCCCTGCCTGGGTGCTGAAGATTTACCCATCAAGGCCAAGTCCCATCCTGCTTTTAGAACCAACCAACCAAAAAGCAATAAAAACTTCTCTTTGTGGACTAACCTCCTACCCCAGGACTCTGCCTTCTTTGCGCTGTCCTGTCCCTCTTATTAACAGATAGTGAAGGGCCAATGTAAATGACTTATGTTTTTTCTTCCCCAAATGTCATACAGAACACCCTGTCCCCTTTAGTGGGCATTTTCCCTATAGCTATCTGACCATCAGCTGGTGGCTTAGAGAATTTGTTCTGGGACTGGCCATTTCACCTCTCGGTAGTGAAAGGCGAGTGACTCACCCTGGACAGAGATTCAACCAGAGATTTACTGGGCGGCTGCCCGAGGGGGAAGAAAAGGAAAGGTAGAAAGCAGAGAGAGAAGAAGAGGAGGGCAGAGAGAAAGAGAAAGAGCAGGGAGAGGAGAGAAAGAAGAGGAAGAGGGCAGAGAATGTAAGCTTGCAAGCTTTGGCTTAAGAAGGGTTGCATAGGTGACGTGGCGGGTGCTGATTGGCAGGGTGACTCAGGAATGTCGAGTGGACACTGTGTCTGGCGGGGATTGGTCAAGAAAACTTTGAATCTGGCGCCCTTCGGCTTGGCACCCTTCAGAGAGGAGGGGGAGGGGAAGGAATTCCGAGACTCGAGTCTCCCACACACCCAACAGGTAGCATCTGTAACAACTCAAGAGCTTTGTGATGTTTTGAACAACTAATAATAACTAATAATCCCCAGTCCCATAGGACTCACAGATGACTCCCTTGTCCTGTGACAAGGCCAGACACAGAGTCTTTAACTCCCTATACTCTGACATATGAACTATCAGCTGAGATTAGAACCATTTGACCCTGAATCTAGCTGGACACAGAGCTAAACATTTCCTGTTTACCTAACTGCAACTTCCTCTGATTGGAACACAGTCCCTCCTGGAAATGATCCCACCTATAATGGGTATATTCCTTCCTACAAAAGTCCAAGGCAAAACCACCCTGTCCAGATACTCTGATCTGAGTGCTCTCCCTATAATGATAGCCTGAATGTGATCAATCATTTTTATTTAGAGACAGTGTCTCACTAAGTTGCCTAGGGCCTCGCTAAGTTGCTTAGGGCCTCGCTAAGTTGCTGGACTGGCTTAAGATCCTCCTGTCTCAGCCTCCCAAGCCTCTAGGATTATAAGTGTGCATCACCATGCTAGACCTTGATCAATTTTCTTAATTGGCTCATTTTTGCCTTTGATAATATTCATCAGTTACCTGCAATTTGAAAAGAGCAGCAAAACAGCTCAAAGACAGCAAGCAGGGTTAGAATCCAACAGGTGAGAGTTGTTGTTATTGTCAATGCATAATTTTTCATTGAAGTACAGTTTTATTTTTTGTAAAATCTCATTCCTAATCTCAAAGGAAGAAGGAAGATTATTCTTGATCACAAAATAAGGCTGGTCTCATAACATTTGACTTCATTATTTACATGGTTGTAATAAGAGTGGTAATAAACTCTTTAGGCTTTTTTTTTTTAATATAGTGCTAGATATCCAGCCCAGGGCCTCTTACATGCTAGCAAGCGCTTTACCACTGAGCTACATCCCTAGTCCCCTTTAGGCCCTCTATAGTTGGCTTTGCTGAAAGTTTCCTAAAAATTTCTTTTTTTTCTTTCCTAAAAATTTCAAGTTTCACTTTTAAAAATCTCTTGAGGCTAGGTAGCCTCATCAATGACTTATCAATAGATTCCAACTCCAGAACCCCCAGATCTGGGTGAATTATCTTGAAGTCTCCAAACTAGCAAAGGGATTCTGGGCATGCTTGAAATTGCCCTGTAAGATTAGGAATACAAAAGCCCAGATACCAGGCCAGTTTTCTTTAAATTAGCTTTGTAAGCACTGGCTCCATAACGCCAACCTTAGTTTCTTAAAAGTATCTGAACAAAATTTATTTGATTCAATGAGCATCATTCTCAAATATAAAATTTCAATCAAGGCTTTTATTGCACAACCAATGTTTCCAAATATGTTCTGGTGAAAAGGGAGGACAGATTCTACTAGAACCTATGCTAACAACTACTTTGTCATGAAAATACAATAGTTACATTGTCACGAAATTAATGATATTCAATAAGAGTTTCCAAATCCTGCAAAAGTCAGGCAGAGAAAATAAGATATCATTTACAAATGTTTCATTTCAGTTTTCAAAAGTAGAGTCTTAAACACAAAGCAGAATTATAATTGCTAAATTGTTATGAGTTATAGATAGCTTAAGAGAAAAAAAAAGGCTTCCTTAAAGATCCAGAAAATAGAGCATTATAACAACATAAACAATATTTCAAACAAAAACTGTAATCATCCTCCTTAGTTCATTCAGTTCTGTGTAATGAATTCTTGTTACCTGGGATCTTGGCTTAGCATTCTTTTGAACCCACTGGCTTCTAGAAATTCTGGTTCACTTCATTAGTACAGTCTTAAAAATTATTCAACTGGTGCTAGCAAATACCATGCCCATAGTACCCATGGTCCTTTTCTGAGATTCTGAGATAATCTCTTGAAGACAAAACACTCTGGCTTATAGCTGATGGTTGAGTTTTCATAAAGCATCAAAGTGAAACAAAAAAAAATCTGTTAGTTTTCTGTCACTGTGACAGTATACCTGAGAAAAACAACTTAAAGGAGGAAAGATTTATTTTGGCTCACAGTTTCAGAGGTTTTAGTCCATGAGCAGCCACCTCCATTGCCTTTAGGCCTGTGGTAAGGCAGAAAATCATAGTGGGGAGGGCAATATGGAACAAAACTGAACAACTCACGACAACCAGAAGACAAAAAGAGAGAGGAAGGGACAAGGGTCCCAATATTTCCTTCAAGGACGTGCCCCCAACTAAAAACTCCCACATCCTAAAATTTCCGCTACCTCCCAATAGGGACCAACCTTTAACACATGAGCTTTTGGGGAACATTCCAGATCCAAACTGTAACAGTATCTGTAGACGACAAAAGACTTTAAATAACTATGGTCAGCTTACAACTTTTTACTGATGATTTTCAAAAGTGAAAGATCCAATAAGAATTCATTTCAAGAATGTAATTTTTTTTAGTTGTTTATAGACCTTTATTTTATTTATGTATCTATATGTGATGCTGAGAATTGAACCCAGTGTCTCACATATGCCAGGCAAGTGCACTACAGCTGAGCCCCAGCAGTCTCAAGAATGTAATTCTTTATATCTTACAATTTGGTTGTTTCTATGAGATTGAAAATAAGCAAATAAAACTAATTTTAACAACTTTAGGCAAAATAATTATAGACATAATAACTATTTTCAAAGGAGACAATGAATATTACACCTTATTTATAAACTAGGTGAACATACCTTTTACAGAGATAGAATATTAAGATATAGCATACAATAATCCTGGCATATCATATATCATGAATATTTCAAACTTATAATAAGAACATATTAAGAAAGCCAGGTGGGGTGGTACACCTGTATAATACCAGCGATTTAGGAGGCTGAGGCAAGAGGATCACAAACTTGAGCCCAGCCTAGGCAATTTAGTGAAATATATATATATTAATTATTTATATTTATATATATTTATATAGATTTCTTTTTTTAATGGCTAGGGATGTAGTTCAGTTGTAGAGTACTTGCCTAGCATGTGTGATGCCCTGTGTTTGATCCTAAGTACTACCTAACAAAACAAAATTGGAACATATTAAGAATATCAAGTAAAGAGATTCAGTAAATCTTAAGATCTAAGCATCTGTATATTAATAACAATACATAGACACATGATATGAATCACTACTGGCCTAGAAGATGCTAGATTCAAATTGAAGAAGTAAAAATATGACCATTTGAACATTAAAAGGAAATAACTAAAATTATGATCAAAGGCTCCAATTACATGGGCAGAGATCTGCTGCCCTCTCCTGGAAGACAATACAGTTCTGCTCAAAGAAGGATTGCAGGCAGAACCAACCTCCTTCCCCCCTTCCCTCTCCCCACCTCCTTCCTCCTTCCTTCTTCCTCTTCTCCCTCCCTTCTTCTCTCTTCTCTTTTACTTTTTATAACTTTATTTTATTTATTTATTTTATGTGGTGCTGAGGATCCAACCTAGTCCCTCACATGTGCTAGGCAAGCACTCTACCACTGAGCCACAACCCCAGCCCTCTCTTTTACCTTTTTAAAGTAATTTAAAATTTACAAGAAAGTTGTAAAAATACAAAGAGCCCTGTGTACCCTTCACCTAGATATCCCAATTGTGAATATTTCTAGATCAATAAGTTACAGAATTGATGATCCATGAATTCTGAATACTTCAGCCTGTATTTCCTAAAAAGGAGGACACTCCCACATAAAACCACTGTATAACTATCAAAATCAGAAAATGGCTATCAATCCAGGTTGCCATCAATTCTAGAAGTCCTATTCAAATTTTGCCAACTGTCTCAAAGTTCTTTTGTAGTTCCAGGATCCAATCCAGGAACACACACTGCACTTAGCTGGTCACTCTCCTCAGCCTCCTTGAGTTTGGAACAGTTCCTCAGTCTTTTCCTTTGGTTCATTACCTGGGTATTTTTGAAGAATGCAAGCTCATTATTTTGTAGGTATATTGTCAACTGATTTGGATCGGTCTATTATTTACTCGTGATTTATGCATTTTGGGTAGGAATACCCTAGGAGTGGTGCTGAGTTCTCAAAGCATATAGAAAGTGCATAATTTATCACTTATTCTGTTAACTGTAATTAGTTAAAATGATGTCTGTCAGATTTCTCCACTGTAAAGGAATTAATTAATTAGTAAGTAATTTTTGTGAAGAGTTACTTCGAGGACTATATAATTATCCTATTCCTCATCATGATGGTTCTGGCATGAATAAATCACTCTGTGATCTTTACAAAATTGTAATTTTCTAATTCCATCCCTGTTTCTATACTTATTCACTGATGTTCTAATATAGAGTTTTCTTTACCCTTTAGTGCTTCATCCATTCATTTATATCAGTATGGTTTCCCAGATTCTTGTTTTATTTAAAGGGTTACATCCATTATTATCAGTATATATCTTGATACTCAAATTCTTTGAATTTACTCTAGACCAACAAAGAAAAAAAGCATTACTTGGTTCTGTGGCAGTGACAGGAACGTGGACAATGTGACCATTTCATTTGTCAATGCTTTTCTGCCAAAGACCACCAAGAACACACCCTTAGTTAAGCATGCTGGCTGTTACTCATTGCAGCAAAGGAGAAAACACACCATAAGAAACCAAAAGGAGTCTCAGAAAGTGAGTCTTAGAGCCTCTTACAGGATTTGGGTTTTGGTGGGGTGATTTTGGGAGAGTCTAAGAAAGTGGTAATTTGGAACTGTTGTCAGA